GCTATGGCTGAACTACGTCTCGTATGCTTGAAGATATAGCCGCTTTATTGTGCTAGTTAGAGTGACGCCAAACAGCGTTTTTGTAATTGGCGGGCGCTATAATTAAAAACTAATAATCCGATCGATTCCAAAATTTGGGGACGTTTCCTTATTTTTTAACTTGGTTTGTGGTAAAAAATTGGCGATTTTCCAAATATATTTTTTTTCAATGGTCCGCCATTTTGTTGATTTTTAGCGTGGATTTTTATAATATTTTTCGGAGACTATCATTAAACGTGGAATTTTTTAAATATTTTTCTGCGAGACAGTGGATTTTTTATACCTTTCACCACACTGAGGTATAGGGTATTATGTCTTTGTGCATATGATTGTAACAGAAACCGGTAAGGAAAGCAGTAAAGTCGGACTGGGCCGACTATATGATACCCTTCACCACTTTGGGTATATTGTTCATATGTATCCCCTCCAAGGAAAATACGCAAGTCTTTCTGCAACCTATGATAAATTTAATTTCATTTCGGCAGATTTTAAATTTACTTCGTACCATGGGACAAATTTATGAAAAACGACTTACAGCAAAATTAATACAGGCTATTCGGTCGCCGCACTGTTAAAATTTTAATTTCATTCAGACATCCATTCGAAATACATATGGGAGCTATGACAGCATCTACATCAATTTCGTTATTCAAGTTTCAAATTGATACGTTGTGCAAAAATCGTGTTAATCGGACAAACAGTAGAAGGTTGGTGCACCATTTATGTAAAATCGGACGGATATATATATTTATATGTGGGAGCTATATCGAAACCAGAACCGATTTTTCCGAAACTTGACACACATCGTTCTGCACCTAATTCAGTACTCCATGCCAAATTTCATGCAAATCGAAAGATATAGAGGGACCATTTACCTTAAATCAGACGAAAATATATATGGGAGCTATATCTAAATCTGAACCGATTTTTCCCAATATCAATAGGATTCGTCCTTGGGCCAAATAAGTGACCTGTGCCAAATTTCATCCAAATCGGATCATAAATGCGACCTGTACTTTGTTACAATTTAACATCTACAGACGGACGGACGGACGGACATGCATAAATCGAGAAAGTGATTCTATGCATATTCTCAAAAGGAATCATGTGTCTATGTCGTTTCCTTTTTCCTGTTACAAACATATGCACAAAGACATAATACCCTGTACCACAGTGTGGTGAAGGGTATAAAAAGGAATTGAGATGGACCCATGGTTCCTTTTGAACATATACATAGAATCATTTTCTGAGTCGATTTCCGCATATCCGTCCGTCCATGTATTTTTGTGAACAAAGTACAGGTCGCATTTATGATCCGATTTGGATGAAATTCGGGAAAACTTCACTTATTTGGTCCAAGAACGAACCCTTTTGAAATTGGTGAAAATCGGTTCAGATTGAGATATAGCTCCCATTGTCCGATTTTAGGTAAATGGTACACCAAACTCCCAATATTAATTAGGCCCAGATTGATGTATGCCAATTTATGTAAATGGAGCACCATACTGCCAATATTTGTCGGATTGCACAGAGTACTGAATTAGGCTCAGATTGATGTATGCCAAGTTTTGTTGATATCGGTTTAGATTTAGATATAGCTCCCATATAAAGTTTCGTCCAATTTTATGTAAATGGAGCACAAAGGAGACAAATTTTGCAAAGCGTACTGAAGTAGGTCCAAATTTGTGTATTCGAAGTTTTGTTTAAATCAGTTTTAGATATACCTTCCATATATAGTTTCCTCCGATTTTATGTAAATGGTGCACAATACTATAGATATTTGTCCGATTGAAACAAAATTTAACACAGAGTACAGAATTAGGTCTAGATTGATGCATGTCGAGTTTTGTATTGGATTTTGTGTCGAGATAAATTATGGATAGCGCAATAGATCTTTTACATATATGATTGATATTCAATTTTTCATAAATTTCAGATTGGTACCCAAAGTGCTGAAGGGTATCATATAGTCGGCCCCGACGGGCTTTCGAACTTTCCTTACTGGTTTAGAATATTTTTCTGAGACTATCATTATATTTTTCTGAGGAGGACGGGCTTTCGAACTTTCCTTACTGGTTTAGAATATTTTTCTGAGACTATCATTATATTTTTCTGAGGAGGCGTGGATTTTAAAAAATATTTTTCTGAGGAGGCGTGAGGAGGCGTGGATTTTAAAAAATATTTTTCCCAGGAGTATATTCTTAAAAAAATTAAAACATATTTTTCTGGGCGTCTATTAGTAATGGTGAAGTTATAGAAATATTAAGCGAAGATTAAAAAATCTGAGAATCTATTCACGTTTATGGGCATTTGTAAAACCAATTTTTGAATTTTCGCTACAAAAATTATTCCATTAAAAATATCATAATCAGGAATTAATAAAATATATATTAAAACATACATACAGAAAATATATAAAGTAAAGAGTTCACGAAACAATGACATCCGTGTTATTAGTTTCCGGCGATGCAGATTTTTCCTCCTGATGATGTTTCTTATCATATCAGGATTAGCTGGCCCAACACAATAATGGCCAAAATAATCTACCCTGACGTGGTATAAACTCCGCTAAATCTTCACGATCGACAACAAATTGCTCCATTGTCATTTCGTTATATGGCGTCAAATTCTGTATACGTTTCATTTCAGATTCATATTGTTTTATACGTTCATTTGAAGATTTTACAAATGCCGCAATTTCTTTCTTAACTTGTTCCGTCATCTTATCCAATTCTTCATAGTATTTGGCGAAATCATTTATTTCATGACGGGCACTAAATGTCCGAGCGAGTTCTTCATATTCACATTGAAATTCAACTACCATTTTTGCATAGTCTTTGCGAACATTATTGCGATAATATTCCCAATCAATTCGTGGTAATTTATCGGGGTATTTGTTTACACGTCTGTAAACAATTGCAAAAAATGTGTATAATTTTTGGGAATTTTTTTCGTTGGTACTTACCTATGATATTCTATGGTATTATCTCGAAATTTTTCAAATTGCTTCATTTGATCTTTGGGAACACGTTTAACTAAATCTGCTAATGTGACTGGGGATAACTTTTTTGCCGCCATCATGGACTTCTTTTATAAAATATGTAAGAAATATAAGGATTATTATTTTTGTATGAAGATTTTTTTTATTAAAATTAATAATTGTTATTGACATTTTTACTGAAGGAAAAATATGCCAGACAATGCTCCTTCGATTTGTAGTTCAAAAGACTTGTTACTATGAGTTGTCTTACTCCGGGATTATACATGCAACTTTTGTAAGCTAAGTTCTTAGGAGTGAGAGGTATAAAAGTGACAAGGGGGAAGAAATTCAAAAGATAATCGTAGCGAGCAGCAGCAGAGTAGCTTCAAAAATTTGCATGTCTAAACCCAGACTTAATGAAGTCCATATTTTTCGATATAGGGAAAGATTTTAACAACACAGAAATTAACAGCAAAGTAAGAATTCATAATATATTTTATATTTGAACGAATCATCGTCCATTAAGCGAATTACAAGATCTGATGGTGACGGAGCTCTATAGTAGTAAATCTTGAGAATAATAACTATGACATTCGAATTTTATCTTGCATAATTTTAAACCGTCTCGCAAATAACATATATGAATCCACTAAAATTTAGATAGGCGTAGACTTCTCTCCCAATCAAAATTCAAATCTTAAACCTTAATATACAGCCTAATATTATCATAAATAATATTAGGTTGGAAAAAGCTATGCGAAACCATTCAAAATTCAGAAATTTGTGGTGCATTTTATAAGTGGACTAAGACATAACGTTGACCGGTAACGTTCATTTTCAAAATTGAATATACATACGTAGATATTTAAAAAAATTTTTCTGAAAGTCTGTCTGTAGGCCTAGATTTTTAAACATATTTTTTGAGGTTCTGTCTGTAACATTGGGTTGTTCAAAATATATATCCATCGTGGATTTTTAAACATATTTTCTAAGGATCTGTCCTCACGCAAAGATTGTTCTATTTTCGAAATTGCAATTCTAGGAACAAACAAAATGGTCATCTCATTGGGACAAACTTCGGTAATTTTGTACGATTTCCTGTAAATGGAAATCGTACAAAATTATGCATGGGAGCTATATCTAAATATCAAACGAGCTCAATACTCTTTATACCCTTCATCCGATTTAATGTAAATGGCGCACCAAAGTACCTGTATATCTTTCGAAATTTGGCATAGCGTAATAAATTAAGCCCAGAATGTTGTGTGTTAAGTTTTGTGAAAATCGGTTCAGATTTATATATAGCTCCCATATATAGTTTCTCCCGATTTCGACTAAAATATGCACCAAAGACCCAAATATAGACAGATTGCACAGAATTTTGCACAACGTACTGAATTTAGTATAGTCTAACGTGTGCCAAGTTTTGTTAGAATCAGTATAGATTCAGATATAGCTCGCATATATAGTTTTACCCCATTTTAAGTAAATGGTGCACCAAAAACTCAATGTAAGGCCGATTGCCACAAAATTTTGCATAGCGTACTGAGTATATTCTAACGTGTGTCAAGTTTTCTTGAAATCGGTTAAGGTTTAGATATAGCTCCCATATATAGTTTCGTCAGGTTTTTGTAAATGGTGCACCAAGGACCCAAAATATGACCGATTTCGGCAAAATTTTGCACAACGTACTAAAGTTACTGTAGCCCAACTTGTGTAAAGTTTCGTTGAAATCGGTTCTTATTTAGATAAAACTCCCATGTGTGGTGTCGTCCGATTTTATGTAACTCGTAAACCAAAGTCCCAAAGTTAGGGCGATTGCCGCAACATTTTGCACAATGTACTGAAGTTGCTGAATGTCAACTTCTGCAAAGTTTCGTTGAAATTGATTCAGATTTATACATAACTCCCATATATATTTTAGTCGGATTTTAAGTTAATGCTGCACCAAAAACCTAGAGTTAGTCCGATTCACATAACATTTTCAAGAATGTGCTGAAGTTACTATAACCTAATGTTTGAAAGTTTCGTTGAAATCTGTTCTGGTTTGGATATAGCTCCCATATATATTTTCATCCGATTTTAAGTAAATAATGCACCAAGTACTCAAAATATGGCTGATAGACTCGTACTGTTTTTGTATAACCTAACGTGTGACAAGATTCTTTGAAATCGGTTCAGATTATATATTTTCGTCCGATTTTAAGTAAATGGTTCACCAAACTCCTCATTTGTGTCAGATGCAATTTTGAATAATGTACAAGATTCACCATGCAATGGCGTTACTGCGTTCTGTAGAAATGTAGACTATCCCATATTAATTTTCGAACGACTTCGTGTTGATTGGGCTCCAAAATATTAACTGGTTCCTGATTGATATTTGCTTTAAATCGATTTACATAATTGTGATATCGGGTTCCTGGCGAATAAAAATCTTCCTTCAGAAATTATTCAATATAGGTTAATGTTTAAAATGGTATAAACACAAATGTCCACTTTAATGTTCGGTATGCTTCTGAAGTTAATACTTCAGTTTTTCAACATGAGTCTCTGTAATTTGGGATATTATTTTGTAAGAACATGAACAACCTACTACCTAATATGGCTATAGTATAGTCCCCCACTCAACCTGGCTTTTGTTACAGAACATATAACCGAACTGGCAGTAATTAAGTACTAAAAATTATTATAAGGGCCTAAGTTTCACAGAAGCTCCAATATTTAATATTTAGACTATATATTTGGAAAAAAATCTCCATTGGGACATTTTACAATTTGTGTATGAAGCCAATCAAAAACAAGGCAATGTATAAGGGTATCAATCCATAAGATCGGGCAATTTTTTTGGTATATTTCAAGGTATAGCCATATTATTCTAGAAAATTCTTCCTATAATCTTATTGACCATTATCACATTTGTTCTCAAGGGGTCCCATTTTAACGGTTTAATACTTCGTAGTGGCTAAACAAAATTCCGTTCTGCCGAAATAAACGTCGGTTTTCCTTTTTTCAAATTAAAGATTTATTTTACACAAAAAATTAATGCACAGAATATTTAATTTTTTAACACAATGTAATGTTTTTTCTAATACAATTTCTCTTTACACTAAAGGCAAAACAGGATCTACTTAATACTTCCCTTTGTAAATAGGCCTGTCTATAAACACTCACCTCTATTGCCGATAAAATTGTTAATGCAAAAGAAATAATTGTCTTTTATTGATGGCAATTGAATGATAAGCCTTTTTTGTTGTTGTTAATACAGATACGGAATTCTTTTGTTCCATCACCCAGTCAGTCCTTATCGCGTCAAATGAGTCTTTCGTTTTTTGAAATTTTACAACAATTGTTGACAACGACGACATTATTGATGGTGATGAAAAATCACTTAAAACTCTACTCAAAGGTATTTCAAGTTTGTTTCTTCTCTCATTGTATTTTGTGTATCCTTAGTGGCTTTTGTGTGTGCGTGTGTACAATAAACGAAGGATATTAAAAAAGGGCTTACTGCCAAAAGGATTTCATTAGAAAATTATTTGAATGACAGTTAGGGCGCAAGTGATATTCCAAACAAAAAACAGGTGTGAAGCCTTTTTTCTGTTTAGCGATTTTAATGACAAACTGGAGAACGGTGGCGAGGGAGGAGGAGGGAATTTTATTGTATAGACACCCAACAATAGAATGTCGAACATAAAACTTGAATTATGGGACTTTAATTTGTTGAATATTTAGCAGTGAAAGGGGCACGGGGAAAGAAGAAAGAGCTATCAGTGACAATGATACTTTTAAGGTAACAAAAGCCTTATTCAAATTTCTTTAATGCTCTTAATGATTTTATGAATAGGACGATATTTTGCGATACTATCAGCTAGGGACATTTAACTCCTTTAGTGGTGGAAAGTGTGAATTAAATTGTTATTAGTAGCTGCGTGGAAGGGGTGAAGAATAGAATAAAAGACAATGATATTAAAGTGCAGTAAAATTTTATTTAATGTTAATGAAATTGTTTAGAAATTGGTTAATTTTCATCCCGAGATAGCTGAATATTTTGTCGTAACAATTTTTTCAATAGAAAGAAATGTTGGTTTCTGGTCGAGTGAATTTTTTCACAACAATAATTGGACCTATGATCCTACGATTTTTTATAGAAAAAACTTGGACCTGTGATCCTACGAATTTTTTTATACCCTTCACCACACTGTGGTACAGGGTATTATGTCTTTGTGCATATGTTTGTAATAGGCAAAAGGAAACGAGATGAACACATGGCTCCTTTTGAGAATATGGATTGAATCACTTTCTGAGTCGATTAACGCATGTCCGTCCATGTATTTTTGTGAACAAAGTACAGATCGCATGACCTATGACTATGGCATAGGTCACTTATTTGGTTCAATGACGAACTCTATTGAAATTGGGAATAATCGGTTCAGATTTAGATATAGCTCCCATATATTTTTTTGTCCGATTTAATGTATTTGGTGCACCGAAGCCCCTATATATCTCTCGATTTGCTCGAAATTTGGCACAGCGTAATGAATTAGGTCTAGAATGACGTGTGTTAAGTTTCCTGAAAATCGGTTCAGATTTAGATATAGCTCCCATATTATTTTCGTCCGATTTAATGAAAATGGTGCAGCAAAGTCCCTTAACATTTTTCGATTTGCACGAAATTTGGCACAGCGTAATGAATTAGGTCGAGAATGATGTGTGTTAAGTTTCGTGAAAAAACTTGGACCTGTGGTCCTATGAATTTTTTTCTATAGAAAAAACTTGGATCTGTGGTCCTATAGAAAAAACTTGGACCTGTGGTCCTACGAATTTTTTTCTATAGAAAAAACTTGGACCTGTGGTCCTACGAATTTTTTTCTATAGAAAAAACTTGGACCTGTGGTCCTACGAATTTTTTTCTATAGAAAAAACTTGGACTTGTGGTCCTACGAATTTTTTTCTATAGAAAAAACTTGGACCTGTGGTCCTACGAATTTTTTTCTATAGAAAAAACTTGGACCTGTGGTCCTTCGAATTTTTTTGCTCGAAATTTGGCACAGCGTAATGAATTAGGTCTAGAATGACGTGTGTTAAGTTTCCTGAAAAT